TGGTGGTGCAGAGGACCAGCTCTCCAGGCTGCCAGCGATGGCTGAGGAATGGGAATGAGGGAAACACCCCTGGGAACAGCCGGGGCTGCAGGACCTGCAGAGCATCTCCTCAGAGCCCTGATGCCACCCTTGTGTCCTGCTGGTTGGGAGGGCTGGGAGGTCTGAGAACGCCGTGTTTCTGCAGTCTCCTTGGAGATCCACAGAGTCCTCCAGACAATCTGCTGGCTCTGGGAAGATGGGAGGGAAGGAGGAAATTTGTCTCTTTTGCTGTGGTCAGCAGCTCCTGCCAGGAGTGTCTCCCATGGGAAGGAGAAGTGTCCTGTCCTGGGAGCCCTTCTGGAGCACTGGGGCAGCCCCAGGGCAGCAGGTCCATGGAATGAGGGAGCCCCAGCCTGGTTTGGGTTGGGAGGGACCCCAAATCCCCCCCATCCCACCCAGCCATGGCAGGGACACCTTCCCCTGTCCCAGCTGCTCCAGCCCCAATGTCCAGCCTGGCCTTGGGCACTGCCAGGATCCAGGGGCAGCCCCAGCTGCTCTGGGCACCTGTGCCAGGGCTGCTGGCATCAGCAATGCCAGTGTCTGACAGGGCCCCACCTCCCTGAGGAGTATTTTGTGAATTCCAGGTGGGTTGGAATTCCATTGAGGGTGGCTTTAGCCATCCTCCCCCTTTTTCTGGACGTAGAGGGAGCTGAGTTGCTGCATCTACTGATTGCTCAGCCCCCACTTGAGCATGGAAACTTTTTTGGTGTCTTTTAAATGGATGCCTGGATCCAAGAGAGCTGTGTGTGCTCTCAGGAGAGCTCTGGCACAAAGGGGGGCAAGGCAGATATCCTTATCCTGCTTTTCTTTTATCTTTCTGCCGCTGTGCAGTGGCAGTGGGGCTGACTCCCCAGAAGGGCTGGATCCCTGCACTGGAGGTGTATTCCAAGGAGTGGGTACAAAGGGATTGACTGTGCTCTTTATTCTCCAATTCACAAAGAGAATGTTTCCAGCCTCTCTGTCTCTCTCTCTCATGCACACACAAAAGATGTATTTTTATTTTTTTTTTTTTTTGTATTTCTCTTGGTTTGAATGTTTTCTGTTTCTTCTCGCAGCTACCTGACGTGATCTTTCTGTGTGCAAACCCTGCCGAGCCCTACCCTGCATCTGGGCTGCTTTTAAAGAAGAAAAGTGTCTTTGGCTTCTGCATCCAACGGGATTCAGAAGAAATTCAGGATCTGAGTGAGTGAATTCCGAAGTTACCCAAAGAGGCTGGGGCTGCCCTGGATCCCAGGCTGGACATTGGGGCTGGGAACAACCTGGGACAGGGAAAGGTGTCCCTGCCATGGCAGGGGTGGGATGGGTGGGATTTGGGGTCCCTCACAACCCATCCCAATCCGGGGTTCTGGATTTGCCTGTGCCCTCTTGTTCTGCTTTCAGCTGATCAGGAACTGGAGGGCAGTAAGCCCTCGTTTGTTCTTCCTCCCTAAATTACCAGAGTTTGAAGTTTTGGTATCAATAACTCCAACTTTGGATAAAACCAGCTTGTGAATATTGCATAAATACCAGAAAACAAATCGATTGAGTCCAGCAGAAAGGAGAGTGATATTCTACAGAGGGAATTTTACAGGAGGAATGCGGCTCCCTCCTTTTCCCCACCCAGTCTGCCGGAGGTCATCTCCTGCCAGAGAGCTGGGAGAGCCTCCCGAGGAGCCCAAGGCAACTCCCTCCATCCCAGAGGTGAAAAAGGGTGAAATCCCACATCACACAGGGATTCCTGCCCGAATGCTTATTGCACTGAAGCTACTCTTCATTTATCTCCTCCTTTTTTGATATCTCTTAATGGGGTTGTAACAAGGCTCATGGAAATCAATGGAATTCAGCAGGAATCACATCAAAGACCAGGAATTTCACATGGCAGGAGCCAAAACAAGGGGTCATTTTATGTCAGTCTTTGATTTGATGTGTTTGCCTGGGGCTCTGCTCGGTGGAGGTTTGACTTGTGCTCAGAGGAGCAGTGGGAGCTGCTCCAGCACCCACCACAGACACCCTCAGCAGCCCCGGGATCCCAGGGGAGCCCCAAAATCCCAGGGGAAGCCCAAAATCCCAGGGGAGCCTGCTGCGGTTTGGGATTTGGAGGTTAATCCCAAAAGCAAAAAGAAGGGATCTATCAGGATTTGGACGAGCTGCGCAGGAGAATCGGAGCAGCCGCCGTGCTGGAGTGGAATTCCAGGGCATTCCCAGCTCTGGAGCCATCCTGGCAGGCTCGGAGCTCCTTTCCCTGGATACCAGTGCACAGCCCGGGGCACTGAGGCTTCATTTGATCCACTCTGGAATCTCGGCACTGCTGGGAACAGCCGAGTGAGGCAGAGCTCAGGATTAGCCCAGGAGAGCCCCTCGGGATGGGATGGGATGGGATGGGATGGGATGGGATGGGATGGGATGGGATGGGATCCATGGGATGGGATGGGATGGGATGGGATGGGATGGGATGGGATGGGATGGGATGGGATCCATGGGATGGGATGGGATGGGATGGGATGGGCTGCTGCCTCCGGGGGGAATCTGGATGTGGTCATCCTTCCTCTTCCCAGCAGCACCAGTGGAGGAGATTCCCGGTCCCTGCTGCTGCCCCAGGACTCTGAGCTCGGAGCACGCAGACAGACACGGATTTATTCCCTGGGAATTGGCCGAGCATGGAGTTGTGCCGGGATTCTGGGCATTGTTGGCACCTCCAGAGGCTCAAAGGTGCCAGCTGCACTCAGGACATTGCACGGGATGCCTTTGGAGCGAGGTGAGGGGTCTGGGCTCCCTGAGGTCACCGTCCCAAACCCAGTGATCCCTGTGGATGGCTGCAGCACCCCTGCCTTGAATCATTCCGTGCAGGAACACCAGAGAGTTTGGTCATTACCCGAGATTGTCTCACCAGACAGCCCTGGCGTGAGGAAAAGTGGTTAAGAATGTCCTCAGGGAGAGAAATCCATAATGTAGATATTAACAAAAGTGATGTCTCTTCAGAGTGCTCAGACTCATTTTTCAGACTTAAAAATGAAGATGATGGGTCTAAACCTTTTATTTCCGTGCTAAATTGGCTTTTTGGCTGCCCAAAGAGCTCTCTGCAGTATTCAAGGGCCAAGGTGTGCAGCAGAGGTGACGCTGATGAACTGCCTCAGGTGCCCTTTTCCCACCATTGCTTTCAAACCCAGCTCCTCGAGCACTCTGCATTTCATAGGAAACAGCCCTTTTCCTGATTGTTGCTTTTTTTGCCGTTGATTTTGTCATTGTGTTTCTGTTCCTCCGCTCAGTCCCAATTACCAGGATGTGGTTTGGAGTTTTACAAACAGCCACACACTAAAACATTTAGCAGTGATCCTCTGTTCATCTGATTTCTGTCACTTTGTGCATTACTCCCATCTCCATTTCCCAGTGTTTCTCAGGGTAATTATAAACAATGTATTTCCCTGATCTCGTGTTTAGCCACAGATCATCATCATTTGGTTCCAAAACTTCTTGGGAATTACCTTTACTAAGGTTATTGGCTGCCATGGGAATTGAACTCCCCTGCAATGATTTTAAACTGTGAAGCTGAAACATTTGTGTGCTCTGTGAATTCAGGCCTGGCCCATTTTGCCGTTATTCATTCCTTTAATTTTTTTGCTGGAGCTGCTGGAAGCTGTGATGCCGTCAGCAGAGGCTTGCTCAGCTCCTTCATTTCACAGCAGGGAGATGGGGGGAGAAACAAACCCATGGGGCTGAGGGACAAACCCATGGGGCTGAGGGACAAACCCATGGGGCTGAGGGACAAACCCATGGGGTATGAGGGACAAACCCATGGGGCTGAGGGACAAACCCATGGGGTATGAGGGACAAACCCACAGATTGTGAGGGACAATCCCATGAGATGTGAGGGACAAACCCATGGGGTATGAGGGACAAACCCACGGGGCTGAGGGACGAACCGAAGGGATGTGAGGGACAAACCCACACATTGTGAGGGACAAACCCACGGGATGTGAGGGACAAACCCACGGGATGTGAGGGACAAACCCATGGGATGTGAGGGAACTTTGATGGCTCTGCAGGTGGCTCAGCCCAGAATCACCTGGGCTGGGCTGGGCTGGACAAGGGAGCTGCTCTTGGGCAGCAGCAGCGACACCAGGCTCTTCTCCTCTTGTCTGCCAGGAAATTCATAGGATCCCAGACAGATTTGGGTTGGGAGGGACCCCAAATCCCCCCCATCCCACCCCAGCCATGGCAGGGACACCTTCCCCTGTCCCAGCTGCTCCAGCCCCAATGTCCAGCCTGGCCTTGGGCACTGCCAGGGATCCAGGGGCTGCTCTGGGCGCCCAGTCCCCCTGCTCAGAGGGAAGAATTTCCTGCCAATATCCCCCCAAACCCTGTTTTTCTGGCAGTTTAAATCCAGTTTATTTTCTCTGCTGACGGAAGGGTGTCGGCCGAGGGCAGCCGTGGGATACCTGAGCTCGCTGCTCCTCTGATGCCGTGCCACTCGCACGGCCTGGGGAAGGGGGAGATTGGGGGGCTCGGGAAGGTTTGGGGGGCTGAGGCTTTCTGGGGATAGCGAGGAGGTTGGGGGCCCCTGTGGATCGGGGGTGTTGGGGGCTCTGGGGGATTTTAGTGGTGCGGGGGGCTCAAGGAACTCGGGGGTGCCGGCTCAGCCCGGCCGGCTCTGCCATCCCCCCGCGGGCAGGGGCTGCCTCCCGCACCTGCGGCCCCGGGGTGACGCCGAAAATCCCACCCGATGATCCGAAAATCTCCCGCACCGGACCGGGGGCTGCACCGGGGGCTGCACCGGCTCCCCCTCCCTCCCTCTGTCCGTCCGTCCCTCCCGCATCCCTCCCGCATCCCTCCCGCATCCCTCCCCCTCCCCGGGGCGGCCCCGCCGCGCCCCCGCCCCGCTCTCCCCGCGCCGGGCGGAGCCTGCCCGGGGTGCGGCGGGCTCGGAGTTGCGCCGGGCGGCGGAGGCGAGCGGAGCTGGGCGCTCCCGGCCCGGGCCATGCAGGATGCTCCCGGCCGCCGCCCCGCGCCCGCCGCCGCTGCTGTGGCCGCCGCCCGCCGAGCCCCCCGCTCCGCCCTGGGCCTGGGTGCTGCCCGCGGCCGCGGGGCTGCTCCGGGTGGGCGCTGCCTCCGCCGGGGCTCCCCCTCATCCTCCTCCTCCTCCTCCTCCTCCGCCGCTGCTGCTGCCGCCCCCCGCGCTGGTGCGGCCCGGGCCGGGCTGGGCCGGCCCCGCCGAGCCCCCGCTGCTGCCGCTGCTGCCCGCGGCCGCCGAGCCGCTCCTGCACGGCCAGGTAAGGGCGGAGCCGCCGCGGGGACACAACTTTGCCGGAGCCGCTGCCCGGTGCCAGCCCCGGCAGCGAGACCCCCGCCCGCGGGATGGGGGCGGCGGAGGGACAGACCCCGCGGGGCGGCGGGGGCTCCCCGGGCTCTGCATCCTCCTTTTCCGAGCTCTGCATCCCCCCTTCCCGGGTTCTACATCTGCCTTCCCTGGGCCCTGCACCACCCCCTTCCCAAGCTCTGCATCTCCTCTTCCCCAGGATCTGCGTCCCCCTTCCTGGGTTTTACATCTCCCTCCCTCGGGGGGCTGCATCTCTCCCTTTCCCAAGCTCTCCATCCCCCCTTCCCCGGGCTCTCCATCCCCCCTTCCCCGGGCTCTCCATCCCCCCTTCCCCGGGCTCTCCATCCCCCCTTCCCGATGCTCTGCGCCCCTCGGGCTCGGTTCCCGGTCGCGGCCCCGCGCGTGTGGGAGCGCGGCGCTTCCAGCAGCTCTGGATTTCTCCGGGAGGAGAGGAGGAGAGGGGCTTCCAGAGGGTCTGGGGGTCCCTTCGGGGGGGCTGGGCTCCCCCTCCGGCTACGGGATGAGCTTTCCGCAGATGCAGCCGCAACGGGAGCGATGCTCCAGGCGCGCTCCGGCAGCCGGGGCAGCATCGCCGCTGAGCGTTCTGTGAATATTTATAAAGACGAAAGTTTTGAGCCGTGTCACTGGAACCAGCGTGTCGCGCCAGTGCTTTCCCCGATGAATATTTCAATTATTAATTGCTGCCGCGGGGCTGCTCGCAGTCGCGGCGCCTCCAGCCGGGCGCTCGCCCCTCAGCGCCGAGGGCTCGGAGCCCTGCGCGCAGTTTTGCCTCGGCTTTACGTTTTTTTGGTAGACAGAAGTAAAAATAAACGCGAGCTGTGAGCGCTGTGGCGCCCGCTCGGTTCCGTGTGATGATTTCCAGCCTTTTCGAGCTCGAGCGTCTCTTGCGGTTCGGGAGAAAACAGTCGGTGCTGCTCTAATGAAACGGGAACATCAATTATTCCCCAGCGGGAGACCTTCTCGACGAACCTGCAGAGGTGGTTTTGCTGTGGGAACCCACTCGCCAGGCGAATTTACGTGGAGAAAAAATCCGTTTCTGCCGCTTCGTTTGGTTGTGCAGCCGCATTTGAAGGCAGCTCCCGCTGCTGCGCTCAAGGCTCGCTGCGAGCGAGAAGCGCTCGCCGGGGCTGCTCCCGGCTCTGAGGCTCCCCGAGCTTTGCCGTGCCCGAGGAAACACAAACCCTCGTCGGGCTGGAGGGTTCCTGCCATGTCCCGTGCTCATCTCTCACGTAATTAGGAAATTATAGAAAGTATTGGTAAAATCCTTTCCTTAACTCCTCTTCTTGTGTTTGTTTGTTTGTTTGTTTTGGGTTTTTTTCTCCCCCCGAAGTGGATATTTGGAGCTCATTCGCCGGTGGTAGGATTCTCCCCTTCTTCCAGCGTGGAGTTGGTGCCGGTGCTGCCGCCCGTGTTCGCAGCCACGGTGCCGCCGCACGGGAAGGGCTGGATGGACAAAAGGCTGCCCAGCTGCAAAGTGAGTGCCAGCCTGCCTGAAGGGGTTGGAGGCTGGAGGACGTGGAGAACATAAAGCTGAAGAGTGTTGTGGGTTTCGGGGTGTGGGAGGTCGGTGTTTGTCAGGAAAACCCTGCGGAGGAAGGGGCAGGTGACGGAGGAGCGGTTACAGCTTCACTGTTCCCAAGTTTTAATAGGAATAAAATGTCTTTAATATTTATTACTTTGAGTAGAACTGATTTTCCTACGAGATGTGATTATGTGGGTTCTCCCTCTCCCCCTTCTCCCTGGTTTTCCCACTGTTTGTCCCAAAGGAGTGCCACAGTGCAGTGCTGGCAGAGCGGTGTCACCGTGGCTGGTGCCAGGGTGGCCCTCGGGGTCCCCATCCCACCTGTGTTCCCCACATCTGGCCCTTTGCCAGCTGAGTGCTCAACACCTGCCTTTGTTCTGCTGTCCCTCTGTCCCTCAGCTGCTTTTGTGCCCCTGTCCCCCTGTTTTGTGCTGCTGTCCCCCTGTCCCTCACTGTGTCCGGCCGCTGTCCTCCTGTCCTTGTTTTGTCCCCCTGTCTGTCCCTGTCTGTCCCCGTGTCTGTCCCTGTCCGTCCCCCTGTCTGTCCCTGTTTTGTCCCCCTGTCTGTCCCTGTTGTGTCCCCCTGTCTGTCCCTGTCTGTCCCCCTGTCTGTCCCTGTCCATCCCTGTGTCCGTCCCGGCGGTGGCCGCGGTGCCCTGGGGTGACAGGAGTGGCTGTGTCAGCGCTGCCCTCAGGGGTCCCTTGTCCCCTGTGCTGCCACAGCAGCTCTGAGTCGTGTCACAGCCAATTCATTTCAAGTGGTCACTTCACTTCAGGCTCAGCGCGGAGGGAGCAGAAACCCTCCTGCTTCGGGAAGTTTGTCCCCAGCTCAAATACTGAGCTAAAGACGCTTCGTTCTCACCTGTGTTTCTGAATTCTGGATTTCAGACTGTAACATTCTTCTTTCTTTCTGTTGGACAGATCTACCTGAACAATGCCTTTGCCCTGGATTCGGCCTGGATGCAGCCTGAGGAGTCCAGGCTGTTCCAGGGGGCTGAGAAGCCTCTGCTGCTGAGCAATCAAGTGGCCATGGCTGTGGCCAGGCCAGCTGCTGCCTCCAGACCGCTGCCCACGCTCGTCCTGGCCCCTCAGCTCATCCCAGGTCAGGAAATAAGTTCATCAATAATTAAGCACTTGCCTGTTTCTTGGTGGTTTTCCCTTAATGCATCCCCCAGAGAGGCAAAGCTGCTCTCTGAAGCGAGGGTTGGCTTCCATTCAGCTGCAAATCTCTGCTTGAGCAGAACCTTGGTGGCCAAGTGCAGCTCAGTGTCTCTGAGAGGAGGAGAAGGCCGTGTGTGGTTGCAGCAGATGGTGCCAGGCTGTTCTGTAGCTGCTTGGTGACCTCTGCAAGGAAGGACCGACCTCTCCCCACCCACTGGGTTTGTTTTCCAAACGAGAAATCGCTGACATTGATTCTGTGATTCACTGATTCCATCCATTCCACACTGAATGATTCCATGGCGCTGCCCGTGTAGGATTCTGCTGGCTGCTCATTTCCAGAGTTTGGTGGGGTGTGTGCAGACAGCCAGCAGCAGAGAGGAGCAGTGGATCCATCATCTCACGAAGGCTCAGTCATTTGTGAAATAAATTCCGTTAATCTGCATAACTCAACAGAAGAACTAAAAGCTATAAATATAAATATTAACTGTGTAAATATTCTGTGATGCTTTAGGTAACTAAGATTTATACCTGGAAAAGAACATTTATCCTTGGACAAGAGCAGTCTGTGCTTTCCAGTAAGGCTGAATCTCTGTTTTGTCGCTGCAGGAGTAAATTAAAAGAGCAACTCTATCCAGAACATTGAGGAGAAAAGTGCCACTGATACTTCAGCCCCTAAATACACCCTTAAACTGGGAATGAGAATTCCTGGTTTGCTGCCAGCTGTTCCTGCCTTCCTCAGAGCGAAGGTGCTGTCCCCAGGGTGGGAGCAGAGCTGCCCTGTCCGTGGGCTGTCCCCAGGAGCAGTTGGAGCTGCAGAGCTGTGCAGCCCAGCACGCTGTGTTTGCCACCAGCGCTGAGGTTTGGCTGCTGCAGGAGATGCTGGCTCCTGTGCCAGCCTGATCCATCAGCAGGGAATGCCCTGGCACACGCTGGCTCTCCTGGGGCTGTGTTTGGGGCTGTGGCTCTGCCGTCCTCTCCTCCTGCCAGCGCTGCCCGGGCTCAGCTGGAGGAGTCACTGCTGTGGGGAAGCCCTGGGATTAATTCATTTCTGTTTGTTAGAGGATTTATTGGTATTTATTACACATAAAAGCAGCTGTGTGCCAGGGGAATGGCAGGATGGGTGTGCTGCAGGAGGGGTCTGGGCAGCCCCTGCTGTTTCTGCACCTTTAAAAGACTTCAATATTTTAAAATATTTCAGTATTTTATACGTGCACAAGCGTATTTTATCACATGCAGAATGGCAGAGACAAGGCAAGAGCGTTCCTGGGAGCAGCTGAGGGGCAGTGCCAGGCAGAGCAGGGACACTGCCAGCCTGGTGCCACCTCTGTGGGCTGCAGGGAGCCGGGAGGGGAAGGGTTTTCCTCCCCCTGGACAGTGCACGTGTCCATGGCTGCTTGCTCAGGAGCCCTGCAGCTGGACCCTGCTCCTCCTCCAGCAGCAGCTTCAGTGCTGGCTCCAGCTGAGCTCCCTCGGGGTGGGAGAAGTGCAGGGAGGAGCTCAAATCCCCCCAGGCACCTCTGGAAATGATGGGATCACAGAATCCCGGCCTGGTTTGGGCTGGGATGTGCCTCAAATCCCCCCCATCCCACCCCAGCCATGGCAGGGACACCTTCCCCTGTCCCAGCTGCTCCAGCCCCAATGTCCAGCCTGGCCTTGGGCACTGCCAGGGATCCAGGGGCTGCTCTGGGCACCTGTGCCAGGGCCAGTCAAGAATTCCTTCCCATCCTTCTTGAGATGTTGCTGTGGTTGGTGCCGGTCCATCACGTCCCAGGCTGCTTCTCCAGGTGTTCTGAAGGATTTCCTATGGAATATCTGCACTTAATGTGAAGAGTAATAAAAATCCTGGGAGCAAATTGCTCAGTTAAGTGGGATAAAGGGGAAGTTAATCAGGTTTCTGCGCGGGATTCATTTCGGGAGCTGCTCCAACGGCAGCTCTGCCTTCCCCAGTTATCAGTAATGATATAATTGTTTTCTCAATGGAGCTGCAGCGTTCCTCAGATAAAGGAGTGAGCATGGAGCCTGGCGAAGGGTAATGTGCATAATTTAACAGCTGCAGCTCCAGCTACTCCGAGGTGTTATTTGCTGTGAGGAGCAGCAGTTATTATTCTCTCACCGAGTGCAAACCATGGATTGATGTGCTCTGTGCCGTGTGTTTGGAAGGAGCAGGGTGGCCTCTGCCCCCAGCAGTGACTCCTGGCTCATTCAGCATTTTGGGGAGGAGGGCAGCGTTTGGATGTTTCTGCAAAGAGAGCTCTGGCAGTTGTGGAGAGGAAATCAGCTGGCATTTCTGGAGAGGGAATCAATCAGCTGGCATTTCTGGAGAGGGAATCAATCAGCTGGCATTTCTGGAGAGGAAATCAGCTGGAATTTCTGGAGAGGAAATCAGCTGGAATTTCTGGAGAGGGAATCAGCTGGCATTTCTGGAGAGGAAATCAGCTGGAATTTCTGGAGAGGAAATCAGCTGGAATTTCTGGAGAGGAAATCAGCTGGAATTTCTGGAGAGGAAATCAGCTGGCATTTCTGGAGAGGAAATCAGCTGGAATTTCTGGAGAGGGAATCAGCTGGAATTTCTGGAGAGGGAATCAGCTGGCATTTCTGGAGAGGGAATCAATCAGCTGGCATTTCTGGAGAGGAAATCAGCTGGAATTTCTGGAGAGGGAATCAGCTGGAATTTCTGGAGAGGGAATCAGCTGGAATTTCTGGAGAGAAAATCAGCTGGCATTTCTGGAGAGGGAATCAATCAGCTGGCATTTCTGGAGAGGAAATCAGCTGGCATTTCTGGAGAGGAAATCAGATGGAATTTCTGGAGAGGAAATCAGCTGGAATTTCTGGAGAGGGAATCAGCTGGAATTTCTGGAGAGAAAATCAGCTGGCATTTCTGGAGAGGGAATCAATCAGCTGGCATTTCTGGAGAGGAAATCAGCTGGCATTTCTGGAGAGGAAATCAGCTGGCATTTCTGGAGAGGAAATCAGCTGGAATTTCTGGAGAGGGAATCAATCAGCTGGCATTTCTGGAGAGGAAATCAGCTGGCATTTCTGGAGAGGAAATCAGCTGGCATTTCTGGAGAGGAGGGTTGCTGTTGCCGTGCCCTGGGCTGCCTGGCAGGAGCCCTGTGCCAGCTGGGTGCTCTGCACACCCCTGGGAGCTCAGAGCCTGCTGGACGGGCCCTGCTGGCACCCCTGGGGTGGAAGCTGAGCCCTTGGCTCAGGACACTGCTGGTGTCATTTGGAGCTGTGGAGGGGTGGTCTGGCACTCGTGGATCCCAGGAGCATCACCAGCAGCGCTGCCTGGCCAAGGGGGTGTTGTTATGCCTCTGTTAGGGAAGGTTTTCATGGAATTCTGCAGTGCTCGGGGTTGGAACGGACCCTAAAGCTCACCTGGTTCTGTGTGGCTCCTGCTTAGGGACACAAGGGTGTGGTGTGGGACATCCCAAGGAGAGATGGACAAAAAACATTTTGGTTTTTCTCATTCACGTCTTTTCTTTCTCCTAATGCCAAATGAACCCTCCTAGTGTAGTGTCACTGCTGGACACCACGTATCAGTGTGAGTTCACAGCACTCACCACGAGTTCTTAGGAAAAGGGGTTTTTATTCTTTGAACTTGTCAGCTTTTATAGGGTCCTGCACTACAGGGTTAACAGGATTGGGTAAGGGAACGTCACCTCTTGTCCCATTGGTGGCACAAGAGAAAAACACACTACAGTTGCACAGAACTGTTTTGAGAAAGCAAGATGATTTATAAATGTTCTCTTTGAGTGTGAGATTTCCCAAGAAACTTTCCCTTGGGAAGAGATCTGCTCCTGACAGCCTGCAATTCCCTCAGGCTCACAGAAAATCAGGTGCACAGTGTAGGGTTAATGTCCTGACCCTTGACAGAACGGAGACAGTGCCATTGGCACCCCCACACACGGAGGGTAACTCTGCCAGGTAATTCCAGTTTACAGGTTAGGAGTCAAATAGGGCTGCTCTCTGTTAAGTTTGGGTTCTATTTTCTCATTAAATACTCGACCCAGGGCCTCTGACCCTCTGTATTTCCTAAGCACGTGTTTGAAGCACATCTCCATTTACAAGCACTCCGGTTTTGGCCTCCCAAATTGGATTATCTTGTACTGGAGTTGTGTGCTGGGGCTCCCTGTTTGGGGCCAGAGAATGGCACAGCAGGACCCCACTGGTGTCCCTGAAAAGCCATCAAACCTCTCTTTGTTCCTGGAGCATTCAAGCACTGCCAAGCCCAGTCTGGGAACGCTTGCCTTTAACCACAGCCTTAACAAAGTTTTTGTTTTGCTCATTGAGTTTATGGTTTTTTGGTGCTTTTCCTGTTACCTCCCCAAATCAAGAGAAACTCTGAGTGAAGTTTGTTTTCCCACTTAAATTACAGAAATTAACCCAGGAGCAGTCTCCTCATGGGTGAGGCTGGTGGTCCTGCCCTTTCCAGAGCATCGTCCTGAGAGCTCCTGCTGAACACATCCAGCTCTCCCGGCGCTCCCAGGGCAGGGGGTGTCTGTGAGGAGCCAGGGATTTGGATTTATTGCACACGAGCAGGAAAATGTTCCTGGCAATCACAGCCAGGGGTTCCAGTGGCAGTGCCAGCAGCTGTTTTCCCCCTTGGAAAGCAGGGATACCAGGAAAGCAGGGACATCCCTGTGTTTGTTTCCTTTTCCAGGGCTGTTGGTGTGCTTGCTTCCCTTTGCAGGGATGGATATCCCTGTGTTTCCTTTTACACTGAGATATCCCTGTGTTTCCCTTTGAGGGATGGATATCCCTGTGTTTGCTGGGATGGATATCCCTGTGTTTGCTGGGATGGATATCCCTGTGTTGTGTTTGCTGGGATGGATATCCCTGTGTTTGCTGGGATGGATATCCCTGTGTTTGCTGGGATGGATATCCCTGTGTTTCCCTTTGAGAGATGGATATCCCTGTGTTTGCTGGGATGGATATCCCTGTGTTTCCCTTTGAGAGATGGATATCCCTGTGTTTGCTGGGATGGATATCCCTGTGTTTCCCTTTGAGGGATGGATATCCCTGTGTTTCCCTTTGAGGGATGGATATCCCTGTGTTTGCTGGGATGGATATCCCTGTGTTTCCCTTTGAGGGATGGATATCCCTGTGTTTCCCTTTGAGGGATGGATATCCCTGTGTTTGCTGGGATGGATATCCCTGTGTTTCCCTTTGAGGGATGGATATCCCTGTGTTTCCCTTTGAGGGATGGATATCCCTGTGGTTCCCTTTGAAGGATGGATATCCCTGTGTTTCCCTCTGCAGGGATGGATATCCCTGTGTTTCCCTTTGAAGGATGGATATCCCTGTGTTTCCCTCTGCAGGGATGGATATCCCTGTGTTTCCCTTTAAGGGATGGATATCCCTGTGTTTCCCTCTGCAGGGGTTTTGGGGTATTTAGGGTTTTTTCGGAACTCCAAACACAGGCAAAGGCTCAGGTTGAGAAAGGAGACTTTCATTCCCCACAATGTGAAAGTTCTGCACAAATCCAAATTTACTCACTGACATCTCCACACGCCCTCCTGGCTCATCCACGTTATCCCATCACCTCCTCCTGCAGAATTCTTTCAGCTGATGCTGTCCCTGTGCCTGCTGTGCCCTCGAGGGTCTCTGGTGCCCTTTGGGGAGGTGCCCCTGCCCAGCTTTGGGCCAGGTTCAGCTCGGGCTGGCAGAAGCCCAGGAGGAGGTGCCACGTCCCCTCAGGCCAGTGCCCAGCAGGCTGTAAAGCAGGAAACCTTGAGCAGCAGCTGTCTGGCACAGCTGGGAACATCTGTCTGCATTCAGAAGGGGGTTGAGGGTCACAATGGCACCGTCAGGCTCCATCTGCAGCTGAGGTCAAAGGAAGGGACAGCAAATTCTGCTTGAAGTCCTGGAGCTTAAAGATGCAGAGGATCCTACTTAAAAATAGTGAAAATCCTGCCTAAGGACTCTGAGCTTAAAGACAGAGTGAATCTGACTTAAAAATACTGAAAATTCTACTTAAAGGCATCAGAGCTTAAAGATGCAGAGATTCCTTCTTAAAAATAGAGAAAATTCTGCTTAAAGCCATCAGCTGGGCTGGGGGGGCTGAGGGGCTGTGAGGGGCTGAGGGCAAGCACAGAGCTCCTTCCAAGAGAATTTGGGAGCTCCTGTTACAGCAGGACTGCTGCTGGGTGATGAGGATGGTTTTTGGAACAGGAACACTGGCAGTGCCCAGGGAGGGTTGCAGTGCCCATCCCTGGAGGTGTCCCAGGAATTGCTGGAGGTGGCACTCAGGGCTCTGGGCTGGGGCAGGGTGGGGATGGGGCAGGGCTGGGAGGAATTTTCCAGCCCCAGGGATCCTGGGATTCAGGGAAGTTTTCACCTCACTGCCAGGGTGTGCCATGACCTGCCAAAACCAGATCTGGGGAAAGCACCATGGCCAGGAGAAACCCCTCATTTCCCCTCTCACTGGAATGCCGGTGATGGCATTTCACTCCTCTTTCCATGGCATTTGACTGTTGAAATTCCCGGTAACTCTAAAACCCTTCCGAGGCCTTTTTGAAAACACTTAGAGCAGACCTGGTTGGTTTGTGAGGAGATGGGAGCCCCCAGCTCTCTGGGCCGGGTTCCAGGGTGGGTGAGCAGTGGGTGATGCTGGGCTGGGGCAGAGCAGCTCCCGCTGCCCGCGCTCTCTCCAGCACCCAAAGCACAGCCTGGCCCTTCCTCCACCGAGTTATTCAGCAGGAGAGAACTCCGTCAAAGGAGGGGAAACCACCCAAACTCCTCTTTCAACTGAGTGATGAAACTTTGATAAGGGGCCTGATGAAAGTTTAATAAGGAAGGCAGCTCCAGGAGCGCTGCTCAGCGCGGGCTCGGCTGGCCCCGGCTCGCATTATTTTCCTGTTCTCCTGCCCTCTTTGGGGAAATCACATCCTCCTTTCCAGAAGAAAGGATTCAAACGAGAAGTAAACAACCTTTCCGCTCATGTGCCCTGCAGGAAGGCACAGGAAAGCCGTGACTGCAGACAGCATTAGCTTTCACAGGAGCTGCAGGAGATGTTTTGTGGGTTTTTCCCAGCAGCAGACAGCTGGAATCGGGAATGAGCACAGGCTCTGGGAGCGCAGGTGTTTCACCTCGCTGAAGGATTGTTCCACTTCCCACGTGAATGAACAATGAGCTTGTATTTAACCCTTGGATTGGCTGGACACTGAAGGCTTTTTATTTTGTTTTTTGATTTCCACTGTCGGTCTGGCAGAAAAATCTGTTTTCATTTATCCATTGCTGAATGATCAAAACTTCAATATTTGTGGGTTTTTCTTGGCCTGTGTGCCGGTTGCTTAGTGCATCTGCAGGTGTTCCTTGGCACAGAGGAGTAACGACTGTAGAAATAATTGACATTTTTTGGTGACACTGAAAATATTAAACTTCTGTTTTGTTAATTCAGGGTTTATCTTGTTGGGAAATAATTGTTTGTAAAGGGCTGCGACAAAGCTGGGGGTGTTCACATGGAGAAGGCTCCAGGGAGAGCTCAGAGCCTGGAGGGGCTCCAGGAGAGCTGGAGAGGGACTGGGGACAAGGGATGGAGGGACAGGACACAGGGAATGGCTCCCAGTGCCAGAGGGCAGGGCTGGATGGGATTTGGGGCAGGAATTGTTCCTGGCAGGGTGGGCAGGCCCTGGCACAGGTGCCCAGAGCAGCTGGGGCTGCCCCTGGATCCCTGGCAGTGCCCAAGGCCAGGCTGGACATTGGGGCTGGAGCAGCTGGGACAGGGGAAGGTGTCCCTGCCATGGCTGGGGTGGGAATGGATGATTTTCCCTCCCAACCCAAAGCATTCCCTGATCCTGTGACCTTATCCCAGGTCCCTGCTGTGCTCTCCTACCTGCATCCCCCAGCCCAGCCGCCCTTCCCAAAGGGCCATTCCCTGTTCTCCTTGCTGGGATGCACAGGGAAGGAGAAGCCTGGGAGTGAGGAGTGGGATCAGATGGGATTTGTGGAGCCACAGCTGGCTCCTGCTGCCTGCAGGATTTGCACCGGGCTGAGAGCTTTGCAGGATGCCAAAATAAGCTGATGATTGCTTAATTTTTGAATCCCGAGCTCGGCATGGAGGGAGGAACAGCTGCTGCTTGTCAGATCTGCTTTGCTCCTCAAGAGTTATACGACTCCTGCTCTTGTTTATTTAACATAATCAGTCACAATTGAGCTCTGAAGGTCTTCCCTGCCACTGCCAGGCTGGGGAGTGAATGGTGCAGGGGCTAAAGGGTGTTTGAGCTTGGATTGGGGACATTCCTGGGTTCCCTTGGCAGTGCCCAGGGAGGGTTGCAGTGCCCATCCCTGGAGGTGTCCCAGGAATTGCTGGAGGTGGCACTCAGGGCTCTGGGCTGGGACAGGGCTGGGAGTCCCTGGGCTGGGAGGGATTTTCCAGCCCCAGGGATTCCATAAAGTGTCCTGTTGAGTTTTTGGGATGAGGGAGATAAGGTGCAGAGCTTGTCAAACTCAGGGATTTGTGTGCAGGACACAGGAGAGCAGCCAGGCAGGTGAGGGAGCAGTGGGTGCCTAATATAGCAAGGAATAAATTCAGATTTGACATCAGACTGTTACACTTAGGAAAGCTGAGAATAATTGTGTTCCGTGTGTTCAAATATTTGACTTTTTTATTAAGTTTTTTCATTTAAATTCAATAACTCTGCGCAGTTTGTGTGTGAGTCACTGCTGCCTTGTGCCTCTGGGTGATGGTGATGTGTTCACATCTGTGGGGTTTAATGGCTAAAAATGCTCCAGCCACAGGCTGGGGATTTGCAATCACCACTAGCAAAGGGGCTCTGGGAGTCCTGCAGGAATGTCTCAGTCACAGAACAGCTGGGCTGGAGGGGACCTCTGGAGATCATCCAGTTCAGGCTCCTGCCCAGGCAGTGTCACCTGCAGCAGGCGACACGGGAACGTGTCCAGGAGGGTTTGGAATGGCTCTGGAGAGGGAGACCCCAGCCCCTCCCTGGGCAGCTGTTCCTGGCTCTGGCCCCTCCATGCAAAGAAGTTTTCTCATGTTGGGCTGGAACTTGCTGTGCTTTAGCTTCTGGCCACTGCTCCTTGTCCTGTCTCTGGCACCGCTGAGCAGAGTCTGGCACCGTCCTCTGACAGCCCTTGGGGAGATTTGTATGGATTGATGGGATCCCCTCTCAGCCTTCCCTTCTCCAGACTGAGCAGGCCCAGCTCCCGCAGTCTCTCCTCATCTCAGAGATGCTCCAGTCCCAAAATGACCTCTGTGGCCTCTGCTGGACCCTCTCCAGCAGCTCCTTGACATTCTTCCTTTGTCTCTGCTCCCAGGAACAGGGACAGGAAGAGAGGGAATGGGCTCAGGCTGGGCCAGGGCAGCTCAGGGGGGACAGCAGCAGGAATTTCCCCATGGAAAGGGAGCTCAGGCCCTGGCAGTGCCCAGGGAGGGTTGCAGTGCCCATCCCTGGAGGTGTCCCAGGAATTGCTGGAGGTGGCACTCAGGGCTCTGGGCTGGGGACACGGTGGGGTTGATCAAGATTCAGACTTGATGACCCTGCAGGTCTTTTCCCATGGAAGTGATTCTGTGGCTCAGCGATTCCTGAGCTCTGGAGACCAGAGCTGGGCACAATAAACAGATTTACTCCATGTAACACCTGCTCAGGCTCTGGAGTCTCTCTCGCAGGGCCAGGTGGGGCGTGCTGCATCTTGTTCCACCCTGTGCCAAAACTCAGGGTGCTGAGCACCCACTTTCCCCAGTCCCACTGCTCTCCCCTCCAGCTCACACCCATTTTCTCTCTCTGTCCCACAGGTGGTTGCCAGAACAGCCTTAAAGCCGTGGGTGGCACTCAGAGCCTGGCGCTGCTGGCCCTGGAGCCCGAGGCCCCCGCGGGGCCGAGCCTGCAGCCCTGCCAGCTCCTCACCCTCTCCCCCATCAAAGTCCCACTCCTGGCCTCGCCCTTCCCAGGTAAGGTCCTGCTGTGGCCCCAGGAGCAGCTCTGGGCAGCACAGGGCTTGTGTGTGGCTGCTGGTGAACGCTGGGGTCAATTTGGGTTAAATTCCCTGTTTCTGGAGCAGTTGGAGGCGTTCTCTGGGACTGTGCCAGGAGTGAACCCAGAGCTCTGCGAGCCCTCGGCCCTGGGACGCTCAGGGACAGCTGAGCTGGTTCCTCCCTCATCTCAGGGGGTTCTGTGGGGAAGGTGGGACAGCAGCCCTGGAGTCCTGAGCACATTCCCTGGAATTCCCTGGAGCTCAGAGCTGGGGCAGCACAGCCTGCACCTTCTCCCCGAGGGGGCCCGAGGTGTGCTCACTGCTGGAAACATCGCTCTTTTCTGGCTGTTGGCTGAGAACTGGCTGCAGGTGAAGCTGAGGAGGCACCGGGGCATCCCTGCCCGGCTGGGAGCTTCAGGGCAGCGTTTGTACCTGGGCTTGGCGTGCTTGGGGCTATTTTCAGAAGTTATCTGCCAATTAAGTTAAAAATGTAAATGAGGGTGCGTTTTTCCATCCTTTTGGTAATTGAAGTGTAGCACAGCAAGGCACAGGGAGATTGGATTCTGCAGAAGGTGCAGTTCTGGTTTGGCGTTCGTGGGAGAGCTTTAATGAGAAATGGATCCCAGGGATTCTGGTTCCTGGAGAAGCCCAGTGCTGTGAGCTGTGGGACCAGGGCTGGGATGAGAAAATGGACCCAGAGCAGGGAAGTGCAGGAAAAGGAGGCTCAGGGGGAATTTCTGGCTCTGCACAAGTCCCTGGCAGGAGGGGACAGCCGGGGGGATTTGGGATCTGCTCCCAGGAACAGGGACAGGAGGAGAGGGAACGGGCTCAGGCTGGGCCAGGGCAGCTCAGGGGGGACAGCAGCAGGAATTTCCCCATGGAAAGGGAGCTCAGGCCTTGGCAGTGCCCAGGGAGGGTTGCAGTGCCCATCCCTGGAGGTGTCCCAGGAATTGCTGGAGGTGGCACTCAGGGCTCTGGGCTGGGGACACGGTGGGGATGGGGCAGGGCTGGCACTGCCTGGATGGGAGGGATTTTCCAGCCCCAGGGATTCTGTGGAATGACTGAAAATGTTTTGTACTTAGTCCAAAAAGGGCTGGTGCTGAACTTAGAGCAGAAAGCAGGATTAAAGCTGCTGTGGGGCAGGGAGCTGGTGCTGCTTCCCGTGGAATATCCTGTTTGACTCCTGGGAAACATTTTGCCTGTTCAGGGGTATTTTAGTGGAGGAACCAAAGGAGGGAAAAAATCCATGTTTGCCTGAAAAGCAGGATTGCATTTGAGACGTGTTCTCAGTGGAGTGTGGGGAGGAGCTGGGCATGGCTGGGTCAGTCCAGGAGTCTCTGCCCCTCCAGAACTTCCTGGGCTCTGTGGCAACAACTGTGCCAGGCCAGCATTGTCCCCGATGGTGATGGGCCATCAAACAGCACACTCTGAGCCCTCAGCAGTCCTTTTCATCCCCTCAGCCATCCCCCATGGCAGACCCACACCGGGGCATTCTCTCCTGCCCAGGGGAAAGCGCTTTTTGGGAAAGCAAGCTTGGGAATGTGTGATGTGTGAGCAGTGAGACTCAGCTCCCTGTTTTTCTCTGTCATCCCCATCTCTGGGGGGAAGGCTGGGGCCTTTGCAGAGCTGCCAAAAACCTGTTTTTTATGATCCATTTTACTGTGCTGGAGGGGGAGAGGATGAAAGGGGTTGGGGCTGGATTTTGTCACCAGCAGCCCGAGGCACAGCTGCCCTGGCGGGGTGGGAAGGAGGTATCCCCTCGGGACAGGGACCCCTCTGTGGTGTCCTTGGCCTGGGTGGGTCCAGACCTGGCAAAAAGGGCTGAGAGCTCTGGAGGGGCTGAGGGAGGGAGTGAAAACTGGGGAAAAGCAGGTGCAGAAACCTTCAATCCAGCGTGGCTGCATCCCACCCCCACTGCCTGGGATAGTGCTGTGGCCAGGTGGGGTGGGACGAGGGATGGTGTAACCTGCAGGATGCTCCATTGGGGTGGGAGATTGGGAAGGAATTCCTCCCTCTCAGGGTGGGGAGGCTGTGTTTTTCCTGATCCTCCAGTCACCTAAAAAGTCACCTTGGGGTTAATGACCTGCCCACGTTCCCCTGGTCTGGAGCTTATGAAAGGCACGCAGTAGCAATGAACTTAAAAACCCCCAAATTAAATTATTTCCAGCTTCAGTCTCGGTGTTTATTGGTGCCTGGAAGGCTGACCATTGTGTGTGATTACCCCAGTTAATTGATTGTCCCCTGTTAATTGATTCCATCAGAGATCAGTGGCCTATTCCTTCCTTGTGTAGTCCTGTGTCTCCAACCACAGGGATTTGCTCCATCAATAGTCTTAGGAGTGAATATTTATTTTTTCAGACCTTTGACTATGGTTAGTTTTGCAGTCTTACAGGGAATTCCTGGCAGCCTAATTAGTACCTTTGGGAAGAGCAGGGTGGTAACACAAGGTGGGAGGTGTGGGCAGGGCACAGGGCAGGTGAGCATCCAGGCTCTGCTGCTTTTCCATCCTCACAGAGGAAATTCCTGGCAGTTCCCTTGAAGGGAAGCACCAGGAGTTATGGGGAACTGAGAGTGTGCACAGTGCAGCTGTCATTTTTTAAACTTCATTTTTAAAACTGATTTTTCCATTTTGTGAAGGAAAATGAGAAGCAAAGGCAGGAGAGAGCACAGGACATTCAGGGAATGGAAGGGCAGGATCCCTGCAGGAGGATCCCAGCTGGATCCCTGGGAGTGGGGCTGAGCAGCCAGGCCTGGGAGGCTGCTGTGCCCTGGCTCTGCTCTCAGTGCTGCTCTTGGGGATTATTTTGTCACTGTGCTGAGCTTAGAAAAACTTGTAATGATGAAATAAACGTACGGGAGAGAAGCTGCATAAAAGCCCTGGGTTTAATAGCAACATAAAACAGTGTTTTATATGGAATAAAAGATTGAAGCTTGAGGAACCTGTCCATGGAGTGATGTGTGGCTGGAAAGGCTCCAGCTCAGGCTCTGAGCAGTGAGAGGAGCCTTGCCCCACATTTCTGTGCTCTCTGCTCCAGTGAGGTGAAGAGAGAAGGTTCCAGCAAGGCAATTTCAGCCCCATTTTGGGTTACTATTGCTTTTATTTCCTTTCCTCGTTTTGCATCCACTGGTGGTGCTGCTCGTGCATCTCCCAGGCAAATGTTCCCTTAAATATTTCATGGCAGCCACGCTGTGAGTGTGGATTTTGTGCCAGGTTTAACATAAAGACTAAACAGGAGCTTGTGGAGATGCAGCTCCTCACTGAGCTGCATCTTCCCGTGCTCTGCTGGGGGAGGAACCTGCATTTCCCAGCACTGCCATGCCAAGGCTCTGAAATCTGTCCCAAGGAAACCCTAAATGCATTAAACTTTGCAAACACCAGCACTTACCTGCAGTAATTAAGGAATGGGGTGTCTGCTAATCTCACATACCCCTCTGCAGCTACTGCAGAAAGAAGTGGGCATTTATTTTCCTCACATGCAGGTTTTTAATGTTGGGAGTGAAGAAGGTAAGAGATGAGTTTGTGGTTATGGACTCTGTAAATTAGCAGCCAGCACAAATATTAAAAAAGGCACCATCTGCCATAATATCCATTTGCCACCTGTTCCCTGGCTCTCAGCATTATTTAAGAGTTTAAATGTGGTGGTTTAGGCTGCCACAGAACAGCTGGGAAGTGACTGAGCCTTTTTCCTCTCAGCACCTCAGTGCTGTGTGTCAAGCCCAGCTCTCGGTGCCAGGTTTGTGTCCGAGCTCTGTCCGGTGTCCGTCCCTCCTTGGCAGGGGCTGCTGATTGAGCCAGGCTTCAGAGCACAGTCACTGATGGTTTGGGGTGGGCTGGGGAGGAAACAGCTCCTCCTGACAGCAGAGGGACACAGACTGTCCCAGAGTGAGCACAGACTGTCCAGAGTGGGCACAGACTGTCCCAGAGGGGCACAGACTGTCCCAGAGTGGGCACAGACTGTTCAGAGTGAGCACAGACTGTCCAGAGTGGGCACAGACTGTCCCAGAGGGGCACAGACTGTCCCAGAGTGGGCACAGACTGTTCAGAGTGAGCACAGACTGTCCAGAGTGGGCACAGACTGTCCCAGAGGGGCACAGACTGTCCCAGAGTGGGCACAGACTGTTCAGAGTGAGCACAGACTGTCCAGAGTGGGCACAGACTGTCCCAGAGGGGCACAGACTGTCCCAGAGTGGGCACAGACTGTTCAGAGTGAGCACAGACTGTCCAGAGTGGGCACAGACTGTCCCAGAGGGGCACAGACTGTCCCAGAGTGGGCACAGACTGTTCAGAGTGAGCACAGACTGTCCAGAGTGGGCACAGACTGTCCCAGAGGGGCACAGACTGTCCCAGAGTGGGCACAGACTGTTCAGAGTGAGCACAGACTGTCCAGAGTGGGCACAGACTGTCCCAGAGGGGCACAGACTGTCCCAGAGTGGGCACAGACTGTTCAGAGTGAGCACAGACTGTCCAGAGTGGGCACAGACTGTCCCAGAGGGGCACAGACTGTCCCAGAGTGGGCACAGACTGTTCAGAGTGAGCACCGACTGTCCCAGAGTGGCACAAACTGTCCCAGCGTGGGCACAGAC